GATTAAATAAGAACATTAAAACATAATATAACAATAGTTCTAACCAGATATGATTTATTGGGGACAGTTGGCAATATGTAGAGGTATTTTAGGTTGTTATAACAAGAGGAAGGTGTATTCTACAGGAAGCAAAATCCTTTCCAGACATACCCAGTCTTTACTAGCATCTAAAGCAGTACTTTTTTAACCATTAGCCCATTTGCCTTCTGCTAAGTAAAAACTTACACCCTATGAAGACATGTACTTCTCTGGTCCATCCTCCTCTCCCTGCTAATCATTAAAAGTGAAAATCACTGCTGTGCTCTGCTTATAAAGATTTATCTTTGTATACTACAAAAAATAGGTCCTTTCATTTTCCAAATAGGAGTCTTAAATATGATCGATCAAACATTTTACAGTATTCTAATCCACTCCTCTCATTGAGGATTATTTCTCCTTATAAGAAAATTCTAACAGCTATATGTTGTATACATATCTGCCACTGTCTTAAGCACTTTCTATAGATTTTTTAAATATTCACAATTTATTTTTAAGGAAGAAAGGGCTTACTAAAGTAATTTAGGTTTTATCTTAAGGTAGATTTTTGCTTCTGGCAATGGTAGATTAGGGAATTCCAACCAAGCCTGATAGACAACTAGAAAAATTGAGCTAAAAATAACTGCTTGAAGGAAATTGTCAAAGCATTAAAAATAGAAACTCAGAAATAGAGGTAGGCCTGACATTTGGTGATTATTTTTAAAACAAAACAAAGAAAAACCCTCTTGATTATAAAGCAACATCTATACTGCCCTATTTTGAAAAGCTTAAAGATAGTTTCCCTTCAATTATTTTAGAGGGCCCCCCCATCAACTCAAGTGAACTTAACAGGAAGCTATACCTCATCTGGTTCCGTGATTTTTCTAGACAATGGCAGCATCATAGAATCCAATCTCAGGTCTAATACTATCAGCCTAACTTTTCTCTAGTTAAATTTAGCTTTCTGATCTATAAAATTGGGGTAACATCTACTACCAAGGTTAGACTGCAAGAGATACTGTTTATAAAACTACTTGCCAATTCTGAAAGACATAAAAGCCAAGAGGAGTTGAAAACTAGATTAACAAATGGATGAGGCTAAGGGATGTGCCACACTGGAGGAGCACCAACAAACAGACTTTCTGCTGGGAACTTGAAGGGCTACAACCCAAGAATAAGGTTGTGCCAAAAACAGACCTGCCTTTACAGGTGCCGAAGCTTATTTTCCAAATAGCTCAACCCTGATTGGAAAATAGTGCCCTGAAATTGTTAGTGCATCTGTCTGCCTATCAGAGCAAACACAAATCCTCTGTTGAAGAAGACACTATCCCAGGCTACGAATTTTCAAAATTGTTAATAAATGATACTAATACTCGAGTAAAAACTGACCAGGGACATAAGGAGACAGAACAACGGATATCAACAGATGCAAAAGAGATTAAGCTAATGGAGTTATCGTACAGATTTTAAAATAATTATTCAAACTCAAGCAAATAAAACTTCTAGAACAGAAAAATATAACTGATACCAATAACTTACCAGATAGCGTTAATAGCAAATTAGAAAAAATTGAGATAATTAGAAATAAAAAATTGTTTAGTAGATAATACCCTGACTGAAGCAAGAAGAGACAAAAGCATGGAATATATTTTAAAAAGAGCATAGGCACCAAGATTATGGTAAAGGCCTAACATGAGTAATCAGAGAAGAGAGAGACATAGAGAATAAGAGCAGAAATAATACATATTTGAAAAGGTAATTGGTGATAATTTTTCAAAAGTAATTAAAATCCCCAAGCCACAGATTCAAGAAACATCCCACAGATACAAGAAGCAGGATAAATACAGAGAAGCCACAACCGAGCATATCATTATAACAGTGCTGAAAATCAAAGCAGAGAGAGATATACAGTGGTGTCCCAGTTTATGAACTTAATTCTTTCCAAATCTCAAAGGCAAGCAGATTTCAGAAGGAGAGCGCGGGCTGGAGATTTAGCTCATTGGAGCTGTGCCCGCACACACCTTTAAAGGACAGAAAGGTCAGAAATGGTGTCACACACCTATAGTCTCAGGCCTCAGGAAGCTGGGAAAGGAGGATTTTGAGTACAGTGCTAGCCTGAGTTATATAGCAAGTTCAAGGCTGTATTACATAGTGAGACCTTGTCTCAGAAAACCAAGAAAAAGACAGAAAGAACTACAAATTCCATGCTCAGCAAAAATCTGTTTTGAAAAGATATCCAGACAAAAATATAATTTGTCACCTTCATACCTGTACTAGAAAAATTATTAAAGTGTATCCTTCAAATAGAAGAAAGTGATCCCATATAGAAAATGATATAAAAAAGACCCCAGGGCAACAGAAAGGATAAATATATAGCTAAAGCTAAATGAATATTGACTAAATAAAATAATATCTCCTAAAGTTTAAAACATAGGTAAAGTTAAAATATAGAAAACTGTCAGCACATAAATTAGGATGACGTGATGCAAGTATTCTAAAGCCACTGCACTGAGGAAAGATAAATTTATTTAGTCTTTTACAAGCCAAGGAGTAACCACTAGAAAAACATTAAAGAATGACAAAAAAGAACGAATACCAAGATAATTGATTGAAAAATGAAATTTTAAAAATCAAATGAACGTAAGAAAAAAGTGGGGTTCAGAAAAATAGAAAATAGCTGTACATGGTGGCTCATACTTGTAATCCCGGCACTCAGAAGCTGAGGCAGGAGGATCACTGTGAATTCAAGGCCAGCCTGAATTACACAGTAAGTCTCAAAAAAAAAAAGGAAAAGAAAAACAGAAAATATATTTAAATACAATTTAATAAAGTGATGTTAAACGCAAGAATACAAATAATCTCAGACTAGAAAACCTGAGGATAAGTCATTTATAAACTAGCTTTTAAAATATAATTTACTAACCACAGAAAAAGGGAGACATTTTTAACTGGAAGATTTAGTTTTTCTTTTATGCAGTATAGACATTCCTTAACAACCAAGCAACAGTCCTGCAGCTGGGATGTTAACTGAATTGCTCACTAAGTGAACTGCATATAATGTATACATTACAATATTCAGAACAAAGAAATGGTCAAAGGAAACTCTAGCTTGATGACTTTGCTTTATTTGCTTAACTCTTAAATCCAGTACTGTAGGGCTGGGGATTTAACTCAGTGGTGCCACCTCCTGCCTCACAAGAGCAAGGACCCGAGTTCAATCCCTGGCACCAAAACAAAAAAAAACAAATCCAGAATTGTAATGTATAACAGAACATAAAAAGTACAGTACTGTACTTATACAGTACAACCAGAAAAAATTACAGTACTGTACTATAGAAAAAGCTACCACAAGCCAACACTGCCACCTGTGTTCCTGTATAGAAGTCTGAATGCAGGTTGTAAGTCCAGACAATCGTGAAACAGGCAGGTTGTTAAACAAGGAATATCTGTATTAGGAATTGAACCCAGGGTCTTCACACGGACCTACATCCACAGCCCTTTTACCACTTTTTATGTTTGAGACAGGGTCTTACTAAATTGCTAAGGCTGGGCTGCAGCTATTCTCCTGCCTCAGTCCCAGACTGCTAGGGTTACAGGTGTGTGGCACTCCACCCAATTGTTATTCATTTATTCATATGTTTATTTTGGGGTTTTTGTTTGTTTGTGGGGGTTTTATTGTTTTTTGGTACATTTTAGGTATACAGTACAGTTACATTAATCATTGGGAACTTGTACATTTATATGACAGATCTTGCTGCTTATTTTTTCCCAATTTCCCTGCCCTTCCTTCAACCCCTCCACCCTCCCTATTTATGAAAAGTTTGGTTCCATTTTTTCCTCTTCTAATATTTTTTCTTTTCCCTTCTTTCATTTTTCCCTACCCCTGTTTCCCCTTCCCCTTTAGACCTTTTCTCCTGTTTCACGTTATCAACTATACAGTTTGATCCTTATTTACACTTTTAGTTTCTCACACCAGAGAAACCATTCTGTATTTAAGGTCTCACTATGTAGCTCAGGTGGGTCTCGAACTCATAGGGATCCTTCTGCCTCAGCCTGCTGAGTGCTGGGATTATAGACAAGTGCCACAACATCCAGCCTCCAACTTTTAAAAACTTCGTAAATTCAAAAATTATGTTGTACTTTTCTGAAAAGTTTAAAGACAGTTTTCCCTCAAGCTGTTTTATTTATTTATTTATTTATTTTTGAGACAGGGTCTCACTATGTAGTTGAGACTGACCTGGAACTCACTATGTAGTCCCTGCTGGTCTCAATCTCACAGCGATCCTCCTGCCTCAGACTCCCGAGTGCTAGGATTACAGGCGTGCACCACCATGCCTGGCTCCTCAAGCTGTTTTAGATTCCACATACCCTCTCCCCCAAATGCAAAAGGACTTCATTGGAAGTTAAGACCTCATCTATTCTGTGATTTTCTAAACATTGGAAACACTTGGAGTCCAATCACCTGTCTGATACTATGAGTCTAGTCTGGAGTCCAATCACCTGTCTGATACTATGAGTCTAGTCTAGGACAAGTTATTTCATTTTATTGAATTTAGCATTCTGATCTGCAAAATGGAAATAACTATCAGAAAGGTTACATCACAGGAGACGATGCATGTAAAACCCTTAGCCCACGTGCTCGCTTCGGCAGCACATATACTAAACCCTTAGCCCAAACTCTGGCAAACAGGAAATGCTTAATAACAATCACTTATCAAATTACTACATTTTAACTACAGGGTCTTTCAGGAAAAACAAACAAACTGTACAAAACACCTCATAAGGCAACAGAAAAGAGCAAATCTTCCCCATCTTTCTCATCAAGAAAGCAAATTAGAATTTTTCTTTTCTCTAAATTATCTAATTATAAAATTTCAAATATATAGCAAACCTAATACTACTATGCCAATATTCAATTCTATCCAAGGATTCATGTCAACAAACAGAAACATTGAAGAAAAAGTCAAAATGTTTTATATGCTTACCTGACATTGGATTGCTTCTACTCGATAAGGGTTAAAACTCTTTTGGCATTTGCAACAGAGTTGTTTGAAATAAACCTAAAGATAAAATTATTGTTTAACACAAGTTGGGATATATACATACATAAACACACACACATATATACATCTATATATATATATATATGTCTACACACACACACACACACATATATATATATATCCCATTTCTTAATTTAAGGAATCCATTCCTTCACCCTGTACTTTGCTTTTATCCAACTTCCAGCCTTGCAGTTTTAAGCTCTGCTAGGCTATCAGTCGGTCACTTTTTCTTACCTTATGACCTTGATTTTCCTTACCTGTACAATTTGGCTCACACTACTTAACTTTTTCTATAGTTCTGACAAGTAACCAGTAACATGCATAAAGAATTATAATACATACGCAATGGAAAATGGTCATTATAATTTTATCCATTGTGTGGAACAAATCTTTCTCCTTTTGTTTCTCCTAGGCTGTTAGCCTCGACATACTGCATTTTCCAGTTATTTCCCCACCTGAGCTTTAACCTACTTTTAGTTATCCATACATACCATGTGCTCATGTGCTTTCTGGACTTTGTATATTTTCCTGTGCACATTTCCTCCCTGCTTTATGTAGTGGTTTCCTCCTATTTATACTTCAAAAGTCATATTTTGAAATCATGACACTGTCCCTCTGACAGGTCAACCCCCTCTCCTTCCTGTGTAACTTCTGTACCACTTCCATACCGTGAGTGTTACTGCATATGCCACCAAACTGCATTTTGTCTGCATCACTCCTATCAGAATACATTTCTTTGTTGTTTGTTTGTTTGTTTTTTGAGACAGGGTCTCACTATGTAGTTGAGACTGACCTGGAACTCACTACGTAGCCCAGGCTGGTCTCAAATTCACAGCAATCCTTCTGCCTCAGCCTCCTGAGTGCTGGGATTACAGGCATGTGCCATCACACCCGGCTCAGAATACATTTCTTAAGGACAAGTTCTATGTCACATTCTTTGTGTTCTCTTGCCTTAGAATGTCTGACTCAAACCCATTGTTTTTCTTCTGGCGAGAGATGAAACAGATTTGAAAATCTATTCACCTCTAGGTCTAGCAAATGGCTATTTTAAAAAGTCAAGTTTTCTTTCAGGTATCAACCTGCCTCTCTTTCCTATCCCTCCACAGTCCTTTAGCCAGACAGGCAGCCTCTGAACAATAACACAAACTCAGATGTTCTTAGAAGTTAAAGAAGATGTGGTTTTTCTATAAAATGGAATACTACTCAGCCATAAAGAATGAGAAATTAGTCATTCATAGGAAAATGGATACATATTGAGGATATACTCCTAAGTGAAATAAATAAGTCACACATTTGTAAATACTGAATAATTTCTCTGGTGTGAAAAACTATAATAGTACACAAGATCCTAATGAGATAATTGACAATGTGAAATAGGAAGAAAAGGGCTAAAGGTGTAGGGAAAGTGGGAAGGGTAGGAGAAAGGTAATAAGGGAAAAGAAAAAAATCTGAGAAAATTGAAATAAAGTGTTTTTAAATGGGGAGGGAAGGAGGGAGTGAAGGGAGGGCAGGGACAAGGGGAAAAAATGAGAACCAAGACCCATCATGTAAAGGTACAGGATCTCATTAATGAATGTAACTAACTGTACTGTATACCTAAAATGTACCAATAAACTCAATTAAAAAAAAGGAAGTGGCCTGACATAAAGTGCTACCAAATGATATACACAAGGTAAGCAAAAGGAGGCAGAAGATGCACAGCTGAAACCTATTGTTCTTGTTCTGAAATGAGGGCCCATCACAACCAGAGCCTACAGCTGTTCGTAAAAAAAATCCAGAAATGCAAACGGAATGTGAAGTTTTCCCCAATTTTAATATGTTGGCAATTAACTCAAGTGTGTGTGTTAGCATTAACCTAAATAAAAATTAAAATTAAAATCTGCTACTGGGAATTGAATCCAAGGGCACTTGGATATGCCTAAGCTATATCCCTAGCCCTTTTTATTTTTATTTTTAGACAAAAATCTTACTAAGAAGTCCAAACTGGCCTCAGATTTGGAATCCTCATGCCTCAAACTTCCCAGAAGCTGGGAATACAGGCAGGCACCAAAACACCTACCAAAATAAAGCTCTCCTTGGTAAATTAATCTTTATAAATTATTTCTTCCTACTGCCCCACCTTGTGGCAAATAGTGGTAATTTTCTTGAGCTAAGGTCTAAACTTGTTCAAACTACAGTACACCAATGAAAAATTATTACTGAAAGTCCCATGTTGACAAAAGCAGAAGCCCATCTGAATAACCTGAAAGTTGGTCCAGTAGAAACGCCAAGCCTCACATGCCAGGGTATGGCTCAGGAATCGGTGGGATGTTCAATGTGGACATTCACTGAGCACTCACTGCACGCCTAGCACGGAGGACCAGGATGAAGGAGGGTGGGGGCAGTCAGTCCCCGGGGAAACACTCTGCCTCCGTTTGATACTGGGGCCCACCCCATTCTCCCCCCACATCCCACTCACTTTTACTTACTTTATTAGTTCCAGAAATGCACCACACATATGCACTCTCCCATCTGGTCTTACAATCTTTACAGTGAAAATAGCCATATTTTGGTTCCAAAAACTGAAAATAAAGGAGAAGGGGACTCTTTTATTAAATTGGGGGGAATCTAGATTCTCTTTCCCTAATTGCTTTAAGAAATAAAAATTACCTTCTTGCCCCCACTTCTGTCTATTCTCAATGCTACTACTGTACATTAATTTAGCATCTCATCTTCCTTGAGAATTCCTCTGGAAGGGCCGGGGATTTAGCTCAGTGGCGCTGCTGCCTGCCTCATAAGTGCAAGGTCCCAAGTTTGAACCCAAGACCCCCCCCCCAAAAAAGAATTACTCTGTAATTCTTCTTGCTGCTGCTGTTGCTTGTACTTTCCCAGTCCATTTTCTACATCACCGTGAGTATAATCTCCCAAAATGAGAATGAAAATCTGACTTCCTGCTCACATATTTAAAGCTCTTTCTCTTTGTGTAATGAGGACCCAGTGGGCCTGCAGTGGGTATCTAAAAGCAGGATGAAGCTTGGATTGCCTTGAAATTTAGGGTCAGGTCACTGCTTAGCCCTGCACATATACACGTTACTCATCTAAGGAGTGTGTGTGATTTAAGGATTTTTAACCCTAAATTTACCTGGCCTTTCTCAATCCCCACCCCCTTTTTCTGTAATGGGGATCAAACTCAAGACCTTGTGCGTTGCAAGGCAGGTGGCGGCACCACTTAGCTAAATCCCCAGCCTTCTCACCCCCCTTTTAAGACTGAGGACACTAAGCTAAGAATAAATACAGTAGTTTTCAGGATTTGCAAAGACATCCAATTGCCAGCTTTTACACTGTTCAGTTCCAGACCTTCTGGAGCAACGCCTGGAAGTCTTCAGTGTGTCACCTCAGATTTCAGGAAAAGGTTCCAAGTGACCATCTTGTGGTAAGGTCATTCCTAACAGGGGGCAGTTATCCTATGACAGGAACTGAGGCTGACCCCCAGAACAGGAGCCATCAACTAACAATGGGAACAAAACTACCTCTCCAGCAATGATGGCTCTCTCAGAACCAGTTGTAAAATATCAATCAATCAGACCATTACCTAGTTTGGATCACGATTTCCAGCTGTGTGAATTACCCAGCTATGCAAACCCATAACACTTGATGTTGTTCCCTTTTTCTATAAAATTGCAGAGGTTCTCTCAACCTCTTAAAAACATATCTGGAAATCCTTTATCTGTCTTTTTCAGTATGGCCATGCTGATTAAAAGTTCCTTTCCTGCCCTTCACTACTGTCTCCTTGATTGGCATCTAGGTGTGGGCAACTGAACCTGCTCTTTTGCCGCCCTTCCAAAAGCTGGGGCTTTTGCCCTAAAACTCAGTAGCAGGGATGGTCACACCTTTAGTCTTCACAGATTTAAATTAGAATTGGCACTGTTACACCAAAAACCTGCAAAACTTACAGGCCATGTAAAATACATATTTTCTATTTTTGTTTGTTTGTGTTGTACCAAGGATTGAACTTGGGACCTTGCGCTTGTGAGGCAAGTGGTAGAACCACCAAGCTAAATCCCTGGCCCTAAAATACGTATTTTCAAAACAATCCCCCCCACCACCACCAAATAAAAGGGAAACAAGAGAAAGCTTTACTGTTACTACCCCAGAAATGGAAAAGAAGAGAGAAGTCAGGGCTGGGGTGACACTAAGAAAAAGAGCAGAAAGGCTACCTGGAAGTTGGGCTTCTGAAGTGGACAGCCAGCTGCATCTCCTTGTACCCGCTTGCGCTTCCTTTCACTAAGACACTTGACGTCTTCCTCCACCAACTCCTTAGACTGAGGCAGTTCCTCCTGCCTTTCATCTTCTGACCTTGGCATTGGTGGCGGCTGCTGGCTGGCTTCTGCAGGGCCTGAAAGCACCTTGTTTTTGCCATCTTCCCTATCCTTCCTTAACTGGATCAGGCTCCTACGGCCAATCACTGGTGAATTGACTCCCCAGGCTGTAATGGGTTCCCTGTGGCCAGTGTTGTTCCATGAGCTGTAGCTGTGCAGAGTTTGAGGCCCCAGCGAGCACTGCACAGACCTGTCCACCCGCAGGCTCACCTGTACACCCACCTCCTTGGTGCTGGCCTTGCACAGCCGTAGACTCAGGTTGGGATTCATCTGGGTGAGAATGGCTTTAAAGTGTGCCCTCCTGTAAGGGTCCGTGCAGTATTCAGAGGCATTTGCTGGCACCAGCAGCCCTGGCCTGGCCAGGAAAGTGGGGGAACCCGTATGCTGCCTCCAGTTGGCCTGATTGTGCCTCGAGAGTCCAGGCTGACCCAATGGCAGTGTGTTTCCATAGCCCTGGTACCAGACACAGGGAACTCGGACAAAGCGTTCCATTTGCTTATCAGGTGTGCAGGCGCAAAATCCTCATGCAGTTTGTGCTCTTATTTTGCGTTCCACCATCATTAGCCCCTTCTTTTTCCTAATCAGGCTGGTTCAGGTTCATCCGGCTTCTCCATTTATTTCAGAATCTAACAGATGTCACGTATTATCCTAATTGAAGCAGGGAAAAGCTCCCTACCTACAGAGATATAATTGCCACTTGATTCCTAATTGCTTTTCCCTACCTCTTCAATTTACTGTTCCTGAGTCTTTTTTCATAGCTGTTTTCATTTCTGACTTATAGATCCACATGCTTAAATTAGCAGTTTCAACTACTTATTCCTCTAGTGATTATTTCATAGATCACTTGTGTATTGTTGATGGAAATGTAAATTAGTAAGCCATTACAGCAAACCATATGGAGGCTCCTCAAAAATTGAAAAAATTTTGGGCTGGGGATTTAGCTCAGTGGTTCCACAGCCTGCCTCACAAGCTCAAGGTCCCAAGTTCGAGCTCTGGTACAAAAAAAAAAAAAAAATTGAAAATGTAGAACGACCATATGATCCAGCAATCCCACTACTTTGATGCATGCTCAAAGAAATCAGTGTCTTAAAGAGATATCTACAGCCCATGTTCATTACAGAATTATTCATAAAAGTAAAGCTATGAAAACAACATTTTGTGCACTGACAGATGAATAAATTGTGATATACATGGGAATATCATTCAGACATTTTTGAAAGGGAGTGCTGTCCTTTTGCAATACTTTGGATGAGTCCAGAGGACATTATGCTAAGTGAAACAAGCCATATGGAAAGAAAAAATACCACATTATAGGGAATAGGACTGGGGGTGTTAGCAGAGACCTCTGCAGTGGCTCCTGATCTCCTGTGACACACAACACAAAGCTAAATAAAAGTAAAGACAGAAACAAGATTTAGAGAGAATTGAGTCTTGGGCTGTTCAATGTTGCTGTGAGCAGCAAAGACAAGGGGCATGAAGGGGCACCCAGTATTTTACTGACTACAAGTGTGGGACGGTAGGAAAAGTATGCTTTGAATTATGCAGCACAGTGTGAAGCACCTGAAAGCATCTGGGGATGGCTGACACATAGGCAGGAATATCTGATATGCAAGCAGAGTTAGCTGGGATGCAAACAGGGATGTGAAGGAGGAAGGCACTGCTTGTGTTACGTGGAGAGACCAAAGGGTACGGAGACTGGGTTGCAAGTAAACAGAGTCTGCTAATTACTGAGCATAGATGTCTGCTGTACTGCATGATCTGACCTATCTGGTATCTAAAAAAAAAGTCAGACACAGTTACTAGAGATAGAGAGGTGGGAGAAATAGGAAAGGGCTGGTAAAGAGTACAAAGATGAAGTTTTTTTGTTTTTTTGGTACTGGGGATTGAACTCAGGTTCTTGCGCTTGCAAGGCAGGCCATTGAACCACTGAGCTAAATCCCCAGCCACAATGAAGCTTTAAACGATTAGGTCTAGAGGATAGGGATGTAGCTCATTGGTGCCATACCTGCCTGGCAAACACAAGGTCCTGAGTTCAATTCCTGGTACTCACACCCCCCCAAAAAAAACTAAAAAGAATTTGATGGCAGTAGTCAATGGTATTGTATCATATACTGGAGATTGGCTAAGAGTAGACTTTATGTGTTCCTACCACACATATTAAAAAGGTAACTGTGTGAGGAGATGGATATATTTATTTCTTGACTTGAAATAATCATTCAAATATGTGTATCAAACATCACATTGTGCACATTATATACAATTTTTATGAAAAAGTTTTAAGGATACTCCATGTCTTAGCATGATTATTTACATCTTTTGAGTTTTACAATATCGGAGAATTAAAGGAGAAATAAAAATTTCAAGAATAGTACAAGACTTCTGCATCTTGGCAGTGAACACTGAGGACAATGTATTAGTCACTTTCCAGCACTGGGACAAAATATATGACACCTGCAACCTAAAGAAGGAGAAATTTGCTGGGCGTGGTGGTGCACACCTGTAGTCCCAGCACTTGGGAGGTTGAGGCAGGGGGATCGCTGTGAGTTCGAGACCAGTCTGGGCTACACAGTGAGCTCCAGGTCAGTCTCAACCACATAGGTGAGACCATGTCTCAAAACAAACAAACAAACAAACAAAAAAAGGTGAAGAAGAAGAAGAAGAAGAAGAAGAAGAGGTTTATTTTGGCTTGTGATGAAAATTAATTTAAAGAAATAAAGATAACTGAAGTAGTACATCATCTGACTGGCTGTGCTAGAAGGAATATAAGACTACAGTACAGCCAATGAACATTAAGTCCCTAGTACCAAGAGCAAGGAACTATATAGGAACTAGCTACAAGGAAGCATACACGATGAGAATGTATTTCAAAGGGCTTATATTAGGGTTCTCACTAATTCATTTCCAGTAACACACTCTTCACCCCAGCCTCCCAAAAGAGGGAAAAAGCAGATTGTTCTGACTTAAGATAAGTGTCGCTGCAAGATAGTTCGTTAAGTTCAGTATATGAAATCAAACAGACTTGAATTCAAATCTGGGCCTTGTTACCAGGAAGATTAATTATTCAAGTTTCTTCATCAGACAATACTAACCCATTTATTGGATTATTGTTAAGATTACAAGTGCAATTGCTTGTAAAGCACAAACTGAATGCCAAATTCATAAAATCTTGTGGGGTTTTTGTTTTGTTTTGTTTTTTGAGACAGGGTCTCACTATGTAGTTGAGACTGATCTGGAACTCACTATGTAGCCCAGGCTGGTCTTGAACTCACAGTGATCCTCCTGCCTCAGCCTCCTGAGTGCTGGGATTACAGGCATGCACCACCATGTGCCATTGAACTCATAAAATCCTAAATGGTGGATATTGTTAATCAACACAGACCTCCTGTTCCTTTGCTAATTAGACCTATAAGATAAAAAAGCTTTAGATCGATCTGTATCAGGTAAGTCTCCCGCTATAGCTAAGAATTATTGGTTATCAGACTAAAAAGATCCCTAAATAACCAAGTAGAACTCATTATTTTTTTAACCCATGGTTGTCTCTGCTCTCACTGCTCAAGCACCTTCTGAAAACAGCAAGACCCTTGAACAGCATCCACTTCCTGAATCCAGCTGAAGCATTCCTTGGTCCTGCAACCAACTCAAAATAAGCTTTATATTACGATTGTCACAAACTCTGTGAATTCAGGGGAGGTCAAATTCCTGTCTTGCACGTCAGTTTTGGGAGAAGACAGGCACAAAACGGGTAGATTGGCTCTCTAAATGCGTAAAAGACACTACCAAAGCCTGCGGATGGGGAGTACCCTAAGAGTCAGGAACGCTTTATAAGGTGTTTCATAATTATTCAAGTGGGGGAAGCAGGTTCAGAAGTCTGACAGCAACATGCCCACTGGAACTAAGATCCCCTGATTCCAAATATATACCTTTTTCACTACCGCGCAGTCGGGAAACCCACAGTCCTAGCCCACTCTGAGGGTTTTCTAAAATCCGCTTACTTTTTAGAACCGGCCCAAGAGAACAGTAGCTCTAAGGACAGAACAAATGCCTTTCAAAGGTCCCAAACCCAGATCGTGTCCCAAGAACACCCACCCCGCTGGAGCTCTAAGAGGCAGAAGGTGGCCCTTCCATGCAGGGCGGACTAGTACTTCCGAGAGACCACACATGACCTCTCTATTTGGGATGAAACCGACTATAAAGATGTCAACCCAACGACCCGCTTTCACTCGCCGGGAAGGCGCCTCGCCCACAGCGACCCGAGGCCTCACTTCCGGGTCACGTGTACGGCGCGCGCGTCATTGCGTCACGCACGCAGAGCGAGTTTTGGCGCGAGCTTCTTGAACTAGGCGGCGGTCCTGCTAGGTTGCGCCACTTGAGCTTTGTCTGGAGATGTAGATCGTCCCCTGGAGCAGCCTGAGGGGTCAGACTTGAAACCAACGTGCCTGTGCAGTTTTTGTCGACCTACTGCAGCCAAATTTGAGCCACACGTCTGGAGCGGGTTAGTGGTGCCTGGGTGGAGATGGGTTGCCTTCGGCGGTCCCAGTTGTCGGGGCCGGGGAAGCGCCTCTTCTGACGCGGGTGGAAGCCGCGACGTTTCTTCTCGCAGCCATGGCAGACTTTCACCTCTGGCTGAGAGGGGGGATTGCGTCCCACAGGCACTTTTTTGCAGAGTACATTCCCTTCCCTGGGAATTCATTTCCGGACTGGTCCGTACCTTTGGGCCCCGCGAGCCTCTGGGATTTGCCCTGTTGCTGCCCCAACCTGAAATTTCATCTGGGCACAGTATGTGTCTTAAATGTCAGTAGTTGTTATATTTCGAAGATTTAGTAACTGGCAATTGTAGAACGTGTTTGTCTGTAATAGGAACACTCCTGCGCCATCACTAGCCTCGGGTGCCTAGTGGACGCAGGTGAAATTAATGTTAAAACGTTCTTGAGTTCCTCTAGCTGGTTTTCAAGTGCCCTATATGACTAGTGGCTACAGAATTGAACAGCACAATTCTAGTATATTTTCATCCTCACAGTAAGTTACGTTATTGACCCTAAATGTGGGACTAAGGTTAAAAAAAAAAAAAAGCTGTAGACAAGCTTACCAGCGATTCTGATTTTATCTCATTTAACAAGGAATGCATCCCTATAAAGTATACTCTGGTCTTATCTTTTGCAGAAATACAGTAAAGCAAGCAGTGGAAAAATACTACAGAGAAAGATGCCTATTGGATCCAAAGGGAGACCAACTTTTTTGGAAATTTTTAAGACGCGATGCAGCAAAGCAGGTATTGACAGGTTTTATAAAAATAGATAAATTACGCTGAGAAAATATTTTCAGAAAAGCGAGATGAAGGCTTATTAAAAAGAACCTAATACTGTGCTTTACACTGTAAACTGTTCCTTACAGAGTCATAAATGTAGGTAAGAACGTAATTGTTCTACATAAACCAGATGGTGAGTATAGAACCTTTAATGGATAATGAGGCTGGCCCCTTGGAAGAATTGTTTTAAAAGTACTACTAGCACATTAGAAGCATTGATAATGTCATTTAATGCAGGGGTTGTCCAACTTTTTGGTTTCAGTTTTCCTTATATACTTGAAAATGATTAGTGTCTGCCCAAAGAGCTTATTATGTTATAAATTAAAACTAAGAGCTTGAGAAAGTTTCAGTTCACTTAAAAATAAAATAACCTATTGCATATTATCATAAATATTTTATGAAAAATAGCTGCATTTTCCAAAACAAAATTAAAATAGAATTGTTTTACAGTTTTGCAGTTCAAAAGATTTCCCTGTTCCCTATTCTTTTTTAAATGTGTTTATGCTTCAGGTTTCTCATATAAGGGAAACTATAATACTTAAGCTTCTGTGTTTGATTTATTTCACTTAACATTATGTTCTCAAGATGCACCCATTTTCCTACAAATCACTCAAATTTATCCTTTATGGCAGAGTAGTATTCCATTGTGAATAAATACTATATTTTCTTCTTTTTTTTTTTTAATCCCTTTTCCATTCCTTTTCTTTCCCTTCACCCTTCCATTGTTCCCCTTCCCTTTTGAACACGTTCTCCCTGCTTCCCATTATCTAGCCTCTGTTTTGGTACTTATTTACCCTATGGGTTTCTCACGCAAGAAAAACAATGTGATAATCATTCTTGGGTGCCTGATTTATTTTACTTAACATTATGGTCTCCAGGTGCATCCATTTGCCTAAAAGTGTCTTTAAGTTTATCCTTCCTTATGGCAGTCTGTTCATTCATCTGTTGATGGGCGTATGGGCTATTTCCAAGATTTAGCTATGACACTGGTGCCTTGATTTATAAACTAACTTCTTTCCATCCTTCTGGTTGCAAATTGAATTGGTCACAAACCATATCCAATTTCTGCATAAGGTCAACACTGGACCTAACCATTGAATTTGATTTGGTTCACAACCAATTCAGATCATGACTAGAACTGTAAAAAGAATTGTTTGTGGACCGAGATATAACTATACAAATTGTGTTGCTATAAGCACAAGTATTCATATATTAGTCTGGTTATTAGTCTGGTATGGTGCTTGTAACTCTTTTGAGAAGATTCCTAGAAGGGAAAAGCAGGGTCAAATGGATCCTGTATTTTTTTGAGGAATCTCCATACTGATTTCCATGGTGGGTGTATCAGTTTAAACTCCCACCAACAATGTTAAAGGGTTCCTTTTTCCCCACAGCCTTGCCAGCATTTGTTAATGGTTGATTTCTTTTCTTTTCTTCAAGTGGTTTGTCCTGCTTGATTTCTTGGTGATAGTCATTCTTTCTAGAGTGAGATAGAATTTTAGTGTTGTTTTAATTGACAGTTCTCAAATGACCAGTGATGTTGAACATTTTTTCATACATTTATTTGCAATTTGTACTACTTCATTTGTGAAGTGTCTATTCATTTAGGATGCCCATTTTTGGATTGGATCTTTAAATTTGGGGAGGGTCTGATGTTTTTGGTAGTTCTTTATGTAGTCTAGATATTGGCCCTTTGTCTGAGAAATAGCTGGTAAATTTTTTTTCCCATTGTGTGGGTTGTGTCTTCACTCTGTTGGTTTCTTTTGCTGTGTAAGGGCTTTTTAATTTAATGTGATCCCAGTTATTGATTCTTTGTAATATTTACTGTGTGTTTGGGGTTTTGTTCGTAAAATCTTTGTCTGTACCTGCATCTTTGAGAGTTTTACTATTTTATCTTACAGCAGATTGTTTCCATTTTAATATTTAGAGCTTTCTTCTACCTCACTTTGCCTTGAGGGAGTTGGGGATTATGGGTTGCATCTTGCTTCTGTGTTTTCTCATTTTCTTTTTGTTCTTTTTTTGCTGTTTATTTATTTTCTGTGTTGAGGCTTGCAAATTGCTTATAGTAGGTAGCTTTATTACTGGTATTGAGACCTGTTTAGGAAACGACTACTTTTCAGAGAATAGCTGACTTTTGGCTTTTGAGTCTGTCCCAAGATTCTGATCCTGTCTCTTCATTTTATTAGGGATGAAGGGTTACTGCCTTTTTGCCCTAGTACCCAGTTCTTGGGTTCTGGATTATAGTATTGTCTATGACCCTCAGGTATTAGCATACAAGGAAGATCAACTGATCACAACAGCTGTGTCTCCTAGGCTAACGTAGTACAATCAGTAATAACATTAGCATCAAGCACAGACTAGAAAATGACAAACTGTGATAACAGTTTGCCATCTTCAATCATAGGTGTAAGATCTATAGTTATATAACATGATCTAAGTTAAATCATAAAATTACATACTGTAAATATCCACTCACTAGAGTGATTTTACCCTAAGAGGAGAAAATTTAAAACAGATGAGGAGAAAAAATAGAGAAATACAAGAAGAGAAAGATTAGAAGCAAGGCTGAAAGACAAAGGAAGATTACCAAAGCTTTAGGAAACTGGTGAAGAAGATAGGGAGAAAAACAAGAAGAGAAAAACTAGAACAGAACAAAACTAAAAGCAGTATTCACACTCACAAAAAACCAAAAACAATTTTTTAAAAAAACAATAAAAAAACGGGAAAGAGCAATTTCTCTGTGATTTCAGGCCTGTTGTTATTCTCTGGGGTCTGTAGTTTTGTAGTAGTGTCCAATTCAGGGCCTGACTCTTCTCTTGTTGGTAGACAAAAGGGGCATTCAGAGCTCAGATCTGTTCTGGGTAATCCCAGCAAGCCTGTAGTAGTAGTATTGGCTGGTACTTTCAGATCCATGAAAGTTTAGGCTGATCCTGGCCCAGTCCTGGATTGGGGCCTTAGTCCTTCAGCGTGCAATGTTCTGAGTGTCTGTTGCTGGCCTGCCCAGGGCTCCATGACCCTGGGCTTCTCTTGCAGTTCTCCCTTACCCAGTCACTGTCAGATTTTCCAACACTGGTAGCCCTGAGATGGAGCCAATCCATGGTTGTTCCAAGTCCTGGGTTCAACTGGCCCCTCCCTAAAACATCCAACCAAGCAACCTTTCCAGGGACACAGCAGTCACTTGGAGTCACTCACCAGCTATTGTAGCTAACAGCATCCACGGCTCTATTCCATTGATGTTTCTCCCTGGAGGCCTCTGCAGTCACCCATCCTCGTGTGTGTAGATTCAGTCCTCATACCATGCGCCAGTAGCGGGGAAGAAAGTGCAGATTGCTCCCTCATTTGCATTGAGGTCTGTCTTTCCCTGTGGGTTCCAGTTTTTCCCTTCAGATCCTTTCTGGGTGCCAGGGATTTATGGTCCTCCTTTTTTTTTCTTTCTCAAGTTGTTATTTTTCAGTGTCTGGATTCTGAATCTTGGAAAGGTTGATTTCTTGCTGCTTACTTCTCTCCCATGTTCTTGAAGTCACTTTAGATCTTTGACCCATTTTGAATTTAGTTTAATGTGTGGTGAGAGGGGTCTAGGTTTAATCTTTGGCATATTGCAAGCCAGTTTATTAAAGAGGCCATCTTTCTTCCAATGAATGTATTTTGTTTCTGTCAAAGATAAAGTAGCTGAGTATGATTGGAGTTGTTTCTGCATCTTCTACTCTGTTCCACTGATCTTCAAGTCTTTTTTTTTTGGCCAGGACCGTGCTGTTTTTATCATTGTAGCTTAGTCAAATATAACTTCAAATCAAACCTGCCTTGCCCTTGTTGCCTTTGTTGTCCAGAATTGCTTTTGCTATTCTAGGTCTCTTCTGGTTCCATATAAATTTTAGGATTATTTTCTCTAGTTGTGTGAAGTATGCTCTTGGTATTTTGATTGGGATTGCATTAAATCTATATAACAGTTTTGGAAGTGTTACAGCTTGTATCTAGATGTCCCTCCAAAGACACATGTGGCCATAGGTAGGGTTTTTTGGAGGTGGCTGGATGTAGAATGTGTGATGCTGGGATTAAGATGTGATGCTGGGATTGATTTGTGGTATGAGGCTAGGATTAAGAGTGCCCCATACTGGAGGGCAGGTATCCTAGATAGACTGTAAGGAACAGTCCATGCTTGGTGTGCATGCCTGTAATACCAGGACTTGGGAGGCTGAGGCAGGAATATCACCATGAGATCAAGGCCAGCCTGGACTATGTAGTGAGTTAAAAGATAGCCTGAATTACGTAGTGAGACCCTGTCTCAAAAAGAATATAAGGGACAGAAAGAAGGCTGCTGCTGTTGCTTGCTCCTGCTGCTTCAGTATTTTGCCACCTTCTTCCTGCCATGAACTCTTTCTCCTCTGTGGTGCCCCTTTGCCATCCCACCCTACCTTGGAGCCAGCTGATTATGGACTGAAATCTCTGAAAACTGATAGCCAAAAATAAACCTTTTCTCCTTTAACTTTCAGTGTTGAATATTTTGTCTCAGTAACGAGAAGTAACTAAGGCAGGAAATAATGGGAATTTTCATTGTATAGGTTCTGCCTATCCAACTACAGGGGATATCTTTCTGTTTTCTTATATCCTCTTCTATTTCCTTTTTCAGAGTACTGTAGTTTTCAGTGTAATGGTCTTTCACTTCCTTCATTAGATTGATTCCTAAGAAATTCTTTTTCTTTGTGCTATTGTAAAAGGTGTTGTTTCTTTAATTACTCTCTCATTGAGTTTGCTATTTATGTACAGGAACACTGTTGATTTTTGTGTGTTGACTTTGTATCCAGCTACACTACTGAATTTGGTTACTAAATTTAGAAGTCTTTTGGTAGTTTTTGTGGTCTACATAGAATATCTTGTCATGAACAAATAATGATATTTTAACTTTTTCCTTTCCTATCCATATTGCTTTTATTTCTTTTGTCTATTTGCTCTGGCTAATGTTTCTAGAAGTATGCTGAACAGAGATGGTGATAGTGGATATCCTTGTCTTGTTCCTGATTTTAAGGTTTAGTTTTTCTCTATTTAGTTAATTACCTGTAGGTTCACAAGGGTATGGTACGGTTGTAGTTTGAAGAAAAAAAGAAAAATAGATTATGAAGAGCAAAGCAATGGAAGATGTGTAGAAGGTAGTAAGACTGATGTAGAAGGTCCTGTTAAGTGGTAAAGGGAAATTAGTGGTATTGGATAATAGTAAGAGATGTCCAACTAGGAAAAGGATAAATAATAGTGAATGGAAATTAAATTAGAGGAAAAGAAAACATGGAAAAATATTAATGGAACAAGTTGAACAAGAGAAAGAAGAGAGCAAAAATAAAAGGAGGACCTATTCAAACGAGTAAAACAAAGTAATACAATGGACCCTTGACTGAACTCAATTCATTCGAAAATGCTGGTTGTAACTCAAGTTGGTTATAAGTCAAGACTTTTTCCCATAAGAAATAGTGGAAATATCCATAATGTGTCCCAGACCTCCCAAAGCACCCCTTAACCTTTTCGTAATAAAAAGCGTTTTATAATGTGCATAATTTACCAGAAACACCAATAATTTTCCTAGTGTATTCACTAAAAAGTTATAAAATGTGCCTAATTTACCAGAAATAATTTCATATTATACTCATCATTCAAGCTGACATCTTTGGCTTGCAGGAAGGGAAAATGAAATGGAAGGTGGTTACTGTGTGGAAGGAGAGTCCCCTTTACATAAGAACATGAGGAATCTGGCTCTCTGGTGTCCTTTCTCTCCTTGGGAGAGTCTGTAGCCCACTAGGACTTGCTTCTGGCTCACTAGGTCTCAAGCTTTTCAGAACTAAAAACCGGTTTGTCTGTTGTCTGTTTCTGTCTTGTCTTTAATACTTTTCTGTAGTGTAACATGACATTGTCCTTAAGCAAGTCTTTTTCTGTGCCTGGGTGGGTCTTCGCTACAAATGTAGCTCTGTCCATTTTTTCAGGATTTCCTTTATTTCAGAAGGAGGACTTTGCTGTACTGATTATTGATCCTCCCCCTCCTCTTCAGAAAGCTCCTCAGCTGCCATTCTCTGTTGTTCAGCCAGAAGTTGCTGGTTTCTCTGTAGACCGTTTCTCTGAGTGTTCCTCCACCAGTTTCTCAACATCACCACTGTCTACCTGCAAGTCTGTGAACTTTGCTTTAGTGACATTGTCATTAACCACATGATCGGTTGAAGGTGTAGGCTCCTCTACACAGCCTTCAAAGTCTTTACTATGATTTTTATTGCATCATGAATTTTTCTGTCATTGATTAAACTGAGTTTTTTATTTCTCTTACAGATTTAGGACCAGTAAGCCTTAATTGGTTTGAAGAACTTTCTTCAGAGGCTGCACCCTATAATTCTGAACCTGCAGAAGAATCTGAATATAAAATCAACAGTTATGAGCCAAATCTATTTAAAACACCAAAAAGGAAACCTTTTTGTCATCAGTTAGCTTCAACTCCAATAATATTCAAAGAGCAAGGTAAAACTCTACCACTATACCAGGCTCCTTTAAATGAATTAGGTAAATACAGATTAAACTTGGGTAAGTAATGTGATGTGGGACATGAGGGGAAAATATGAACTAGGAATTCAGGCAAACTTGTTTTAAAATCTCTGCTGTCATCATCTGCTGTATTACGCAGACAATCTCTCTAGCCTTGTTTCTTTTCTTAAATAATGTAGTTGATGATATAATAGATTTAGATTAAGTAAAATAATGTCGGTACTTAATGTTACTTTACCTCCTTTGATTAATGTATCCTGGCAACTGAGGAATTACTGTCTTTATAGAAAAAAACAGGACTTGATTTGGTGTTGATGAAACTATATTTTGCAGGCTATAACAGGACAGAGAAGATTTTTTGTTTTTTTTTTTTTTCGGTACCGGGGATCGAACTTGGATCCTTGCGCTTGCGAGGCAGGCCACCGAACCACTGAGCTAAATCCCCGGCCCAAGAAGATTATTTTTTTCAGTTTGCTGTAAACCTTTTAGTTTGTAAGTTTCCCTAGCCCAAGTGCTTAGTGTTTTCAAGCAATTAGGTAATAAGATTATATATTTCTCATCCAAATATTTGTTGCCTGCTTGACATAAGTAATGTACTTTCCCTTTGGAGTATTATTCTCTGGCAAGGGGAATAAGCATTACACAGATAAAATATAGTACTGTATATATGATTGAGTGTGGTACCTGCCAAAAGAATAAAAAGTACAGTGAGAGTTGAGAAAAAAGAGAATAAATACTATTAGGAGAAGTTATGTTCTCTGGCGCTTTATGCCTATTGTTACCTCTACCTGCAACTTACTTTTTTCTTACCTTTTGTCTAATTTACACACTCATCTTCCAAATTTTGGCTTATATATTTCTGCTTTGAAAAATATTCTCTGTCTTGCCCTCACTGAATATCTAGTGAAGGAGACATCTGTAAAAAATTTTAGTGTGATGAAGTCAAGCCCGTGACCCCATCCCTCGCCAGTACAAGAAATGAAACCCAGAGCCTTCACACTAAACTATTGAGATAGGGTCTTACTCATTTGCCCTAGCTAGGCTCTAATTTGCTATCCTCCTTCCCTGAGTCTCCCAGAGTGGAAGCCCTCCCTCTTTAACTGGGTGTTCATAAGGGAAGACTAGGAGTTAGTCTGGGTGTGGTGGTACATGTAGTCTTCGCTACTCTGGATGCTGATTCAGTAGGATTACAAATTCAAGACCAGCCTGGACAACTTAGGAGGACCCTGTCTAAAAATAAAACAGGCTGGAGAATGTAGCTCAGTGATACCTGGGTTCAATCTCAATGCTGAAATGGAGAAAAAAGATGCAGGAGGGTCATTTAGGAAACACGTAGTGGTTTAGGTCATGAGGCCAAGTGCTTGAATTAAGATAGAAGTCCCCTCATATTCATGGTTTCAATTTTCTTGATTTCATTTAGTCAAAGCCAACTGCAGTATTAAATGGAAAATTTTAGATACAAATGATTCTTAAATTGTGTACCATTCTGAGAAGCATGATAAAATCTTGTGTTGTCCTTTCCCTTTACGCCCTAACCTCTTCTCACTCAGTAGCTATCTCAGTTATCCAACTGACCTTGTGTTCTAGTAACCCTTACATAGTAGCCTCATGCTACATCATGATGCCTGCATCACTTCATCCCTTTTTGTAAGCTTAGTATCAACTCATATCACAAAAATGAACGCAGCACAGTAAGATATGAGGAAAAGCCCACATTCACACAACTTTCATACGGTATCTGTAGTAATTGTTCTATTTTGTAATAAACAGTATAGTATCCACCAAGAGTCTTGGAGTATATCCTCCAAAGATAAGGGGTGGCTACTATAATAGCATAAAAAGAGATGTGGAAGGTAGAAACTATAAGACCCTATAGTAGCCTAGACATGGAGGGACAAAAAAGAACAAATGACAGGGTAGAGCATAAGTAAAAACATAGAAATGACAGCCATAGAAATTGGAAACACTTAGAAACCAGAGGAAAAGCAGACTTGCAAAGGAAAAAGTTGAAAAAAAAAAGTGAGTTTTGCACTATAGTTTGAGACAATAGTGGGGTGTTAAGGTGAAGGTGTTCAGGTTTGGGGGAATAGAAGGCTAAAACTAGGGAAATAATACTATTAGGAGAAATTGTTGTAGAAATAAAGTAGTTTGGAAAGTGATAAAGTCGTCCTATGTAGTGAGAAAATTACGAGGTATAACCTTTAAGGAGTATTTAGCAAATAGGGAAGAAGACAAAAAAGGAAATCAATGCTTGCTTATGCCTGGCAGCTTGCAGTACAAACGAATGAGATATTATTTCACTTTTAGGTAATCAGTCTTTTAAGAGAAAAACAGACATGCTGTTATAATATGGTAAAAGCATGCCTGTGTTTAAAGCATGTACAAAGTAGTGTGTAGTGTGGTAAGGAAAAGCTCAATAAATTTTTTTGTTGAATCTACTATGTTAATCAGTGGTTATTTATTACAACCTGTTGGAACTGGCCTGTCCAACTAGGGAAGGATAGGAATGAGTAAGTCTCTCTGAATTCAGTGCAAAGGAGTTAACTTTTTAAAATTTATAATGCATTAATAATTGCTTTTATTTTAAATTCATTCCTGAAATATGCAAGCAATAAACACTGCTTTTTAAACTTTGTTCAATTGTAACATGTAGTATGTATATTATAGACGTGTGTGTGTGTGTGTGTGTACACACATTTTTTTTTTTTTTTTTTTTTTTTTTT